GTGTATGTTTGAAGCTGACAGGCAAAGAGGCCCACCCAGACCCTAACGACCACCTTTGAAATGTGTCAGGCTGATTCCTTGGTGGTCAGAAAGGCTGGCAACTTCTAATATATTACATAATGGTCCCCCCCTGCCGGTCTCCCATGCCGTCAGATTCCCGGTGACCGTTCTTTAACATCCATCCGAGCACCATCTTTCGTCGTGAGCCCATCCAGCACCAACGTGATGGACAAAAATACCGCAACCTGAGGAGCATCGGAGCATGACGGGTTAGTCCATTTTCAGCCTTGGGCAACGTCCTGAATCCGAAACGTCGTTCATTGGAGTACGAGTAGGTCATCAACAAAGCGATGAAGTTCACTTCTACGTATAGATTTGTTATTACAATTTATGAACTTAATCGTCTCACCAAAAAAGAACTGCAAACCTAAGGGACGCTGGAGCGTGCAAAAAGGAGTGCCCAATCAGGGAGCAGCCATGAGCATCCAAAGACCTCCTCGGTCGGCTCAAAGACCCGCTATGTCCGGGAAACTGCAAATTGACTTCAAACATTTGGAGACAAGTCAGGACCCAAATGCAGACTTGAAGGCGATCTCCGGAAAAGGGGGGACATGTCAATGAATCAAGAGACAATATGGACAATATGAATCAATGAATGATTTCTTGTGCTATGCTCCTTGGCTGGACAAGGAACGAGAAGGTCTTCCCAAGCCCCTAAGCGCCTGAAAAACCAGCAAGTACAGTTGGATGGATAGACGTGTCTCTCCATTGCGCGGAAAAGGCTCCGGCCACTGACCATTGCCGGCGGAGGCATGGAAAAGGCGTATCTCAGAGCCGACGGGTCGGGACGATCGCATGCACTGAACACGGTGGTCTGGTATGGTCTGGTGGTGCAACGAAAACACATGACGATCCTTGGGAATGATCTTTAGGATCCAAAAAGAACACGTGCAAACGTCAATAAATTATCTAAGACATATACATATATAGTCCAATTCAATTAACCGGTGTTGAGGCCAATGAACCGCTCAGGAAAGCTCTGAAACTGGGTTGTTCGTTGAGATATGTTGAGATCAACAAATCCAATAAAGGAACGAACAAGTCAAAGAATCAACAGAAGACCACCCGAAATATCCAAGGGTGCGCAAGGCATTCTATTAAAAAAAAAAACAAGCCCATGGAATGGATGTCTCAACGTCAACACCAGTTCAAACCATAAAACGAGACATGCAACCTTAAGTTAAGCAAACGTTGAATGTGGAACACACAGCCTATGAAATGGCCAAAGCAAACTTGTAAAGGATAAATCATTGAACAATATTTAATCTATAAAATGACAATCTAACAGACCTGCAATAGTCCAAAGCTTGGAACATGCTGGGAATGATCTTCCAGGAGAATATGCTCAGAATGCGCCACACGGGTTTTTACTATAAGCTGGATTCCACTTCATCAACCGACGTTTCAAGACTCTCCACAGAAAGCACTAAAGCACTCTGTGACATGTTGTTCCAGTTTCTTATCTTCAATGATCTATATAGGTAGAGATTGCTTCTATAATATCTCAAAAACGCAGCTTCTAGATGTTCCACACCCATGCTACCCCACTATGGAATGACTACGGGAATTGCATTTTGTAGATGTAAACCCTCGTCATTGCAAACCCTAAAACACCAAAACACTGACAAAAACCCAAGGCAACCCAACCATCGTGTTTTGGCACTGCAAACATCCGTTCTTGGCAACTCAGCAAGGGTAGCTCACCATATATTCAAGCCTGGCCTCCTCCGAGTCGGCGCACTCGCTCGCAGCTTCCGCAGGCTCCATGGCACTGCCGATGCTGATGGATGCTGGTGATTGCAAGGACATGCAAAGACATGACAATTGACTCCAAAAACCAGATCTGCGCTCCAACGCTTGGGTTCTTAAATCATGTTTATATAATAGTATCTAATCATTTTTAGTCATGAGGTGTTTCAATTACTTTAGGTGATAGATGTTCTGTGAACCTGACATTTGAGAGTAAAGCAATCTACATCAAAGAATATATTCACCTTGTGCATATTTATTCGACTTCTTTGTCCTCGAGCCATGAGTCAAGGAGCAAAGCATTCTCAATGCCTCGTTCTGCCAACGGTGGATGACATCGAATGCCTCGTTCGGCGAAAAGGACCTGCTCCTTACAGAGAAGCACTTGCGGCTTTGATTGCGGCAACCATGGGGCGGGCAACCATGTCTCCCGAGCATTCCATTGGGGTTACTGATTCAATATCTGCTCCCCAAAAACTGGGGCGGGAGGACTGAAAGAACGACATGTGTCCTCTAAGCCAAGGCGGCTCTGCATCTTCTTTTGTGATGACTATCTGAATTTGGATGGGCAAAGTGATGGCACCTGAAGGTTTCGCTTTGCAACGATCGATTCCCATTAAACCTTCCATTCTCCTTCCGACCCCCACGAACTACAGGCCTTCGAAGCATCGATGTGTTGACTGCCACAGCAAGATGTTGTGGTCGCTGCCCTCTGACAGCGGCCTGCAGGGGAATCCAAACTGCATCTCAGTCTCTCTCCACGTCTGCTTGGCCCAGCTTGGTGCCCCTTCCCTCCTCCAAGACCCTTGCATGAATGGAACAGATTCTGCAGTGGCCAAGGACACTTGCGGAAGGAAGGTCTTTGCAGTGAACTTGGCACCAATATGATCAACTGTCCCAGCCTAATCGCTCCAAAACCTCCGGCAGAATCATATGTATCAGTCGCGAAGAGACCAATTAAAATGAAGACAGGGCAGTCAAAGCTGCCGATCATCGCCATGGACTTTTCTTCTTCAAGCCGTTCTAGAAATGGATGTCTTTCAACATCAATTCTGAATGACTCTCACACTTCTTGATCAAACGTTCACAGTCCGGTGTCACGGTCAGAAGTCTGCACCTGTTTTCGCCTCTAATTCGGCCGCCACAGGTGAATCGCCCCTTCATGAATCGCCAGGCGAATCTCTGTGTCTAATCGTGAAACGAGGTGGGTCCGACTGCATCCGCCACGGGAGAAGCGACTCGGTGCGCACAAACTGGTCAAAGGGGAAATGCGTCCCCACTGCCTGAACAATCTGGTCTTTTGCCTTCTATCTTCTGCACAGCTGCCGAATTGCAGCTAAGGCCAAAGACCACATTCCAAGCATCTTGGAGTTCAGGCCATGAAGAACATTTTCGGATCCAGGAAGAAGGCCATGAACACAAAATGTACCAAGGACTGTTGTGTGTGAATGGCTATATATTTCAGGGTCATTTCATGGTCCAAAACCTCTACCAGCCACGAAGACTCTTCGACTCCCAGCCACTCCAGGACTTCAAGAAGACGGCGAAGTCACCATCTTCGTGTAGACGCCCAAAAAGCCTGCGACCCCCCCACCAGGGGCCAAGCAGTGTTCATCAGTGTTCTTCGCGATCACCCGCTGCGCAGGTCTGCCCGACTCGGTCTAAGGTCGCCAACAGCCTCGCCCAGGGTCCAAGCAGGAGAAGGTGTTCACCTGTGATCAGGTGCCGTTTCTGAGTCTAGAAGATCCGGAACATGATGATCCGGACCGAGTGGTTCTTTTCATCACGTTCTTCGCCGGTTCATCTGTGCGGAGCTCCGAACCGAGCTTCCCCAGCTTGCGCGTGGACCAGTCCTCGAACATAGTGCAAGACTCGTTCCAACAGCCGAGCTTCCACAACACGTAGCCTCTGCAGTCCCAAATGGATGGTCTCTACTTGATCTTTCACCGCAACGTCGTATGAGCGTTCTTCCTCTTCCACACTTCCCAAACGCCTGCTGCGCGCTTCAAGCGCTCGGATGCAAAGCTTCAAAGCCGATGAGTCAGGCTGCCAATCGACACCTGCGAGTGGGAACCGCATGGAATAGCGAAATGCAGCTCAGTGCTGTTACTTTTATGATCCTGCTGAAACAACCAACGGTGAGGTTAGGGCCTCGATTGAAGCCCCTTGCGGACTGGTCAAGGCTTAGCTTCAGAATCACATCTATGACCCCCAGAGACGCATAAGGCATCATCAACGCCCAAAAAAAGGAAAAGCCGTCCAACGGGATATGAAGCCCTAACCCTGAACAAAACAATATAATATCCCAATGTGGGGTGTGTTCGCCGACCAAATCAGGCTCTGGGGATCGGTCGAATCCTGTTTGTAGCAGGGAAGAAGTTTGCCAACCTCCCATTCTGAGCGAAACAGCCCTCACGGTTGAAGACTAAGACATGCCCACAAGAAAAATCGCACCATGATATACCATGCTTCGTTTTGCATATGTTTTAAAGCTCTTTAACGTAACCAACGATGGCAGAACGATGGCCGCATTTAGCCTCGTTGGTAAGTCTGATTTGACGAAGAAGTTTCCCCAAAAAGTCAACCTTTCAAGCGGCCCATGTGAAATAGCACCCGGTGCATGTTGGTTTTCACCGGAGTATTCTGCAAGCCATTTTTAAAGCCCATCACGAGAGATGGGCAGGTCGCTTGAACACAAGCTAGCCACAGAAACACGACCCATCACTTTCATATCAGGTCATTGCACACAATCTATGTTGGCCACAAACACAAAAAACATTATTCAGCTTGATCTTTCATCTCTGACCTGGCTTTGGCGAAGCCCCCAATGCCACCAAGGCTTCCTTGGGCTTGGCTGTGGCCAACGCCTCTCGCCAGATGGTGTCATTCAGCATGGCGCAACTGCAAATAGCCCAAAGGCGCCGCAAGCCCTTGATGCCACCGGCAGCAGCCTTCGGGCGGCGGCTGAGGGAAAGCTCCACGCCCAAGTCCTGAAGCGGAAGGAAGAGATCGAAAAATACCGTTCGCACAAACATCCAGAGTTGACACCAACAGTCACTTGACTTTTTACATCTTTTGAAGTAAAGTCACTGAACTGAACTACCATGTAAGAACATGTTGCCTCCCTGGGCGTGTGGGGTTCCAGGCAAAAAACAAGAGGGACCTTAGCAATAATTTCTGTACCACTCGTCTTCAGAGAATCTCACTGTGCCGGAGTTCTTCCTTCAACAGGTCCAGCGAAAAATGCACCACCCATGGAGAAGAACATTGGAAAAGGTGCCTAATTAATTCTAATTGGACGCTAATAGCGATGGCCTCCATCCTAATAGCGATGGCCTCCAACCTAAGAGCGATGGCCTCCAACCCAAAAGCGATGGCCTCCAACCCAAAAGCGATGGCCTCCAACCTAAGAGCGGTGGCCTCCAACCTAATAGCAATGGTCTGCAGCAAAAAGCAAAGCTGAAAGCAAACCTCCAGGTTTGAGACAAACCCACATGGGTGTTTGGATGCTTGGGTGGCAAATCATGGGCGGCCCAAGATTTTGATTTGCTACCCAAGTGTGGGGCGCATCCAACCACGCTCCAGAAAAGATATAATAAACCCAACGAGTCGGCTGGTAACTGGTACGCCATAAGGTATTGTTCCCCCTTCTTTTCCTAGACAATACTCTCAGGTAGAGTCTGAGATGACCCTGGAGGTTTCTCTATACAGGGTGTTCTCAGAAGACGTGAGCTCTGCACCTGCCAGTGGGACTCGAGATTGTGGTAATTAAGTACCATGTGAAAGTTGGCAAATGCAAAAACACATCAGTGGCTCTGATTGAAACTCAGAACCAACCAACTAAATCTTCTGTTGAGAACAACACATCCCCAAATGATCATCTCTGTCCTGAAGGCCATCCCAAGGGCTTTCCTCCAAGAACTCCAATGCTTTCAGCTGCTCCGCCCGCTCCGCCAGATGTTCCTCCGCGGCCGCCAGAGCGGACGCGTCGATCGTGACGACGTCCGCGAAGGACACGCCGATGTCGGCGGCTCGGCCGGCAGGCTCGGTGAAGCCGTATCCTGGGCAGGAGTGGGAGACCGAACGAAGTGACAATTTAATTGTTGATCCTGACTGGATGATGATCCACATGTTGGAAAGATTCTCATGATCACTTGGATGGGAGATTTGTTTCGAAAGATCGTCCCTGCCGACCGAAACGAACCAAGCTTCCGTGCCCAAGCTTGGCGAGAATCCAAGTCCCGTCCCAACGAGAAACAATGGATGTTCCTCAAACCGCCGCTTCCTATGTAAAGGATGTCAATTGCGGTTTCTGGTTGTTGGTCTTTCCAGGTTGGATCTTCACCACCTGGGAGAGTCCTGCGATTTGAGGACCCCCCAGAAGATCACACCACATGAATCAAACAGATCACGGCCACGACCCTAGAGAAAAACATGGGTCAATCGACATAGCTGGATGACACATCTCCAGAAAGGACGACTTCCAGGACTAGGATGATCTCCTTTGGTAAACACATGGTGGCTCCAAGTCGCGCCCTGCATGAGAAGGTTCAGTTCAACTCCATTGCATCGCTACTAGTAGCTTCTTGTTACTATAGTAGCGATGGCCTCCACCTAGTAGCTTCTTGTTCCTAATGGTTTTTCAGGCAAGTCTCGATACAACGAATCTGCCGTTGAGAGCTCTCCGTAGGATTGAAAGACTTCCCCTGGCTCGATGACCCGCAGAGCCCGCGCTGAGACTTGGCCCCGCCGCAGCCGGAACTCCAGATGCGGCTCGCGGTGGTGATTGGCCTGGTCCACGAAAGGAACCAAGCTTCCACCCCACCAGGGTTGGATTCTTGACATGATCACTGCACAAGCACTGGTGTATTGCTCCAAGCTCCTGCCAGGGGGGCTTTTAGGTGTCGTGTTTGTTTTTCAAGCAGCGATTGGGTGGCCAAACTCCTTCCGGTGTTTCTAGGGTCTGTCCAAATTGACAAACATCAGGAACCCTCTCTTTCCTCCCTACATTAGCAGATCCAAAAGACAAATCACGCTCCCTTCTCCTGTGCGGTCCCAAAATGGGCTCCAACCGATGGAACTCCTCTTGCACACGCCGTTGCTTGGCCAAAACGATCTTCTCCAGCTCTGTCCCGGACAGCAGAGCCGGTGCCTTGGCGGAGGTCCAGTTCCATGCAAGATCGCAGTGTTGCGGAGTCACTTGTCGCAACTTCGGAGACCAGGACTCATCGGCCAACATGAAGGCTAAGGCCAAAGGCAACTGGGAGTCACGAGTTTCATCAAATCCTGCCAGGGCACTGGAGGTCAGTGCGGCCAGCGTCCTCTCTTTTGGACATGTTACAAAACCATGTGAAGATATATGAAGTATGATGAAATCATTGAAGGCTGTTTTGGCGTCATTTGCTTCGGTCGCCGAGTCGCTCCGCAGTTTGCACCACTCCATGAGCATGGTTTTGGGGGGAGGAGAATACACAGAGAGCGACCCAAAGCAATCTCCAACGCTTACTGACTCACTGGTTCAAAAATGCCATTGGTGTTGAAAACACCAAGTCACCTGGGGTATATAGTGGGTCAAAAACCTGGAGCCTGTTTCACCGTGCTAGGTTGACCTGCCCAGTAGTCTATTCGTCTATTCACTTACCAGGGTCCCTTGGTCTTGGCCTACAGCCACACCCCATTACCAGAGCCCAGTCCATGATGATGGTTAGGTTGCAGGCCTTTAAAGAAAAGTGATCATCTTTTGCCGACCCTTCAATCACTTCACCAGGGTGTGTAATTCAATAGGGAGGTCTCTTATAAGTAGACTGGTCTCTTTTCCTTCTTCCAGGGGCTCGTCTTTGGGAGGTCTCCCTGTTTTCAACAAAAACGCCCTGCCAAGTCATCCTGCCAAGTCATCCAGCTTGCCCCGCAAGAGCTCCATCACCGATCGGCCCAAAGCGTCGATCCGGGCGCTGCTGGTGAGGGCCGCAGACCTCGGCACCTCGGCCAACTCGGCCGACGTGGCGCAGGCGAACGAGGGTTCTTTGGTCAACGAAATGGAAAAAACAACCACCATGTCCGACCAACTTCTATTCTTTTTGAAGATATACAATACAGTACTCCACAACCCCAAATCCATCCAATATTTAAAACATGCGAGATCATAGTGCGATCTTATAGCGACGACTTGGAGGCACCTGGATCAAGGCCTTTTCATTCCGCTCGATCCGCCTCGTACAGCTCAAGCCCCAGCCGGTCAGGTCATCTCGCTGCAGCCGCAGCCGTGCATCCCAGGTGACGCCCCGGGCGATGAGCCAAGCCTCATACGACTCCAGTGGCCCTTCAGGGTGTTCCGTCGAAGTGGGGGGTGAACGACTGCGGTGTCCACGACTGATGGCATTTTGGAGCGCCATGCAGCTGAGGGAAGGCGCAAGCACAAGCACAGTGCCGTGACCCGTGAGCTGGAAATTTGGAAAGCTGGATGCCCCATCCTGGCCCACTCACTACACCTCAGGGACTTCCAGGTTTAGGACACCCAGATTGGTACAAATCTAATGGAACTCTTAAAGACCTCAAAAGGCCCGGCGAATCACATCGACATGGTGGTTCTCCTCGCTGCCGGCTCTGGATTTTGTTCTGTCCGGAGATGCCCGGACGGACGCTTCGTCGTCCCCGGATGGGTTATACGGTTGTCAACTCACAATCTTGACCTGTGCACATCCAAAACCTTTGGAACAGTAACAACATGTAACAACCCATCTTTACCGGAGATTCAGCTGTGTTTCATCTCGATCTATTTTTTGAGGGGTTTTCCGCACGTGCGGCTAGCGGCTAGTGGCTAGTGCTCTTCTTCTCAAGCGCAACAGACCTGATTTCAGGCTGACAATGTGTCTGGGTGCGACAGTTCCACCGCTTACCCCGCAGCCCCGCAGCCCGGCTGCGACCTCCGCCCACAGTTCCACGCGGAGGGACGTGGCGAGCACCTCAGTGGGGAGGCGCTGGACCGGCCCCACTCTAAGAGTTTAAGAGCGGGGAAAGCACAGCAAAAAGGAACTTGCGATCCGAGAATGAGATCACTTAATGTAGTCCCTTGATTTATAACCCCCCCCTCAACAACCAAGGCCTCCAAAATAATGTATAAGAAAATCAATCAATTGATAATTAAATAAGTAAACTATAACAATAAAAAATATTCCACTACAACTACCCCTCCCCCCCAAAAAAGACATTATTCTAGGGGCCTTTATACATCAGTGCAGGGAAAAAAAACATTATTCTAGGGGGGTTTATAAATCTGAGGGCCACATTACTGATCCTGAAAAGGTCACTGGGAAGGTCCTAGAGCGTTGTTTTGTTGTTTTGTTGTTGTGGTGGTTGTTGTTGTTGTGGTGGTGGTGGTTGCTTGATGTTTGTATCTTTGTTTGCTTGCTTGCTTGATTGATCAGGTTTGCTTGCCGTTCACGCGGTTTGTCTCACTGTACTATTCAGAAACTTCGGTTACCGTCTACCACACCGCTTCCTTCATAGCACGGATCCTACACTCGGAGCGGAAGACCTGGTCAAGCGGAAGACCTCGGGTCAGTTTGAACCCGTCAGCCCAGGGGATTTGAGACCAAGTGTGGAGGGCCGTCGGTAGAAACACACACCCTCCCACCTTGCCCCAATCGGTAGAAACACAGTAGAGCAGGGAAAAACCAGACCAGGCAAAGTCAGCAAAGTCACCAAGGTTTCACATTGCCTTCCAGAACCTTTGGATCTCCCGACCCCCAACTGGTCGCCTCTCTCCCGGTCGCCTTTTTCGCCTTTTGTCGGATGCGGAGGCCTTGATTCGTTATTCTCGATCATTTGGACTTCGGCAGATCCTGCGACTTTGACAGCGATAAGCCTGTGAATTCGGTCTCTCCAGCTGCATCCTACAAGGACTAGCCTGAACATTCTGATTGGTGTACTGTACTGCACACCAGCTTGCCCTTGCATGCAGTGGCTATACTATCATGATGCCATGCACGTGGCGAGTTCAGCGTGCCCAGCCAATTCTGGCGCTCTACAAAGGCACGGGAGCTCGACTGGCCCTGCTTTCGCGACACTTCTTCCAGGGCTATGGCTATGCAGATTTAAACTTGATCCTAGAAAACACAGGGCCCGGAGGCCCCAAATAAGCTCACTCTCTCTGCCGGATGTGTGCGTTCTTTATCACAAGCCTGATCCTCATCGATCTCCACATGAGCCCGGCCCTTCCAAACCGCTGTGATTCTGGCCCAGCCCCCCATCAGCTCCGAACCTGGCATCCGATAGATCTTTGACATAACAAAGCGTTCCGAGCGTATTGGTTTCTGATTGTTTGGGTTTCCAGGCATGCGTTCTTGTCTTTCTTCGGTGCCTCTGGAACGCGAGCCATTTGTAGGGTGAGCCATCGAACGGAGGTTGCAGGTACGTGGGTGAACAAACGCCGGTAATGAAGGATGGTCACTTGGAATTCGGAGGTCGCAGGTAGGAGGCAAAGTCCTGACCCTCAGATGCAGTGGATGGTGGTGATGGTGAGAATATACCAGGGGTCACAAAGGTTTTTTAGTCCCTAATTGAGTGGATGTTCTGGGCACCCCAAACCTCCATGGATAGCACCCCGTCTTGTGACTGCTGGTATTTAAATTGATCATTCATAAGGCTCCGAGTCAACATTGAACTTGAATGTTTGTGCACGCCCAGTCAAAGGAAACAGGACGAAAAACGGCAGACGCCAAACAACGCCCAAACCCATGGGGATGCCTGTACCTTTCTGGGTGCACGCAGACGCCCCGGTTTTCTTCCTACCCCCATTGCACCGTTTTCACCTCCATCCTCGAGCCTCATTTTCGGGCTGACCCGTCCCCATCGTCCCCCCGTCGCACGGCTGGACGACCGGTGAAAGAAACCGCGTGGGCGCAGCCTGGAGTTTTGACTCGAAATGACCAATGGGGAGGCTCCGAGGCTCGCCTGGGCGGTCTGCGGCTGGACTTCGAACTCACACAGCTATTTAGATACTATAGATCTTTCCACTGTGCAACATGTCCGCCTTTTTAAATTCTTTTGATCTATAAAGACATAGGTAAAAAGTTGCAAGATCTATAGGTATTCTCGTGATTCCTCGAAACACCCATGATTTGACTGCTGAAATCCGACGCACCACTCTCAGAAGACTCCTTTTGGGCGTCCAAAGAAGAAAAAACAGGGGAAGGCATCATGGCATGGGGGTTTGATCTTACCAGAGAATTGTTGTTGCATGTTGTTTCTACTTGCTTGGGATGACTGTCTGTCCTGCTCATTCCTTTTTTTTCCATTAGCTTCAGAAGCTATAGCCTCTCAAAGGACCTCCATGCGATCCTATTGGCCGAAACCTCCAGCGATTACCTCTCACCCAGTGGCGCCGAAGCTGACATCTGCACCAGTGCCCCAGCCCTTGACGCTTCGCGTGGAACGACTGGCCGCCAAGGTCACGGCACCTGCAACACCGCGAGGTGCGGTGTCGAGGTGCGGTGTGTCGTGGTGCGGTGTGCCGGGTCGTGTGTTGCGTCCAGGTGTGATCCATTACCATCTGCAGTGTTTTTCTTTTTTGTGAATAAACCTGATGAAACGGATCGAACATCACGTCATGTCAGCGATGAGTCGTCTGTTCTGCACTAGCTCCCTGTGAACACTGCACTGAAGATCTAACAAAAGCACAGCCTGACCGACGCCCCGGCCCCCCGCCTATGCTGGATTCAATCGTGTAGGTGCCAGTGTCCATGGCTATCCAACCCAAATCCTCTGCTGCTTTCACCTCCGCCCGGCTCGTGCCACGATGGTCGACGAATGGTCGGGTTTTCCTTCGATCTCTTTGAGTGAGCAAGACAAAGGTTGCAAAGAAACCCTTGGATTCGCTGAAGGAACGGGGAACAAACAATATTCCTCAATATTCCTCAGAAGAGGATTCATCCATGTGGAAAGTAAACAATTACCTTAAGCAAAACCAGGAACCTGTCTGTCCAACATGCAACATCCAAATGATTGCTGGATCCCACTGCGATTCGTTGTTTGTCCGCTCGAGGTGGTCGGGTCCACCCCGTACCACCGTACGCCGTACGCCGTAGCGTTCGCCCGTTGACTCGTTATGGCTTTGCCTTCACGTCTCTCGCGCGTCGCGGTGTACATCGTATGACCGGATTCCGACGGCGCAGTGGATCCGAACAGCAAATCCTCCCCATCATGTGGTTTCTTGGCTCTAGTAACAGTCACATTTGAGGTGTATACGGTGTCTTCAGCGCAGTTCCCTTATTAGGCCTTTCAGGTAGACAAACTCTTGGCCCTGGAGTAGATTGAATCGGCTTTGGTGACCCTTTTTAGTGTGGCATGCTATCTACATCCTGACCTTGCTGAAGCTTCGATGCTTAAAGCTGCTGAACTTGCTTGCGTGAACCCTACAACTCACACTGGAAAGGCTCCTCGAGTGAAGTGACCTGTGTTTTTGGACCAAAGTGACCTGTACCTAATTTCATGGGCTATTTTCGCGTCACTTGGCCAAAAAGGCGAGCAGAACCTTCTCACTTGGCCAGGGGGTCACATGGACCTACAAGTATCTGGTTGACCGGTCGTTCGCTACGCCTAGCGCGGACCACGGACGAAGGCTCCTGCGGTGTTTAAAGGCTTCCAGGTTCTGCTGGGTTTGGATTTCGAGGATCAGCCCAGGGGGGAGCCAATGTCAAGGATACTATTCGTCAATTCATGTAGACTCTTGATTAGTAAAAATCTCCTGGTTGAATGGAAAAACCTCTTCCTGTGGGGGCTTCATTTATCAAGAGTCTACATCAAGGGGCATTGTTTGAACTTTCTATCGGGATTGGCCCATCTCGCCTGCCCAAATTCCGTCGTCTCACCCATGTCCAATGCCACCTTTGCACGCTCTGCGGTCGCAACTCCACCGACAGTCATGGGGGGGCAGGGGCATCCACCAACAAAAGGATCCGGGAACATGTCCTTGAAACCTGCTTCAATTGATAGTAACTTATATTAATTCATCAATTATAACTGGAACAAACATCCCTGTGACTTGGGGACCACCTGTGAGATGGAGACAAAGCCCAACCAACTGCACGGTGACGACAAGGTGACCACCCGATGGCCCACTCGTGTACTATCCGTACCTCTCTTAAAAAGGGCCAGGACAGGAAGGTCCCATGTTCCCCATGTTTAAGAGAGGTACCCAAAATGAACATGAGTTGAAACGACATGGGTCCCAAAGTTCTGAAGTTCCCATCGGTTCAGTTGAACAGTTGAACATCACGGTCCCCCAAACACGGTGCCAAAGGGAAAAAACGAGCGCCTGATTGACGTGCCAACGATCCACCTTTAAAACAATTAAACACCAATTACTAATTACGGTGTGTATTCGTTTTTCCAT